CATTGTCAAGCTTGGGTTCTGGACCATAGAACAGACAGGACACCCTGAGCATCAGTAGAAGTAGAAGCATCAAATTTGTAGCAGACCTCCCTGGGATGAACACCCCCCTTGTCCTCTGGAACTGTTATCAGTACTGTTGTGCATGGCTGTGGCTGGGCCCATCCTCTCTCCATGGACCAGATGACCACAGGGCCAATCCCCCATTTTGCCCTGGCCTTGGAGCCACCCACACAGCAGTTGGCTGTAGTGCAGTGCAATGCATGGTAGGACCAACTCTCCCACCCTGTGTGGGAGCTACCCACACAGCAGGTGAATGAGTTCCCAAGCCCACCCCTTCCCTGCAGGCGAGGTGACTGCCCATGCCTGGGATTGACCCACACGGAAGGTGGCTTACTCCCCGGGCCGGGCCCACCCTCCCTCCGTGGACAAAGTGATTAAAGGGCAGGATCAACCCTCCTGCCCTGCCCGGGAACCATCTACACAGTTGTGGGTGGCTGTGTCTCCCTGGGTCCACCCCTCCCTCAGTGGACAAGGTGACTGCATGACAAAGCCAATCCTCCCACCATGCCCAGGCCTGGGATGACCTCAAAAGGAGAAGTAGCTCGGGGGGGGGGTGAATTGGCATGGAGAGCTGGGCAGCAAAGTCACCCCAGGTCCCCGAGACTGGAGCTATCCCCCCAAGGCAGGGTGTGTGTAGGAAAGCAGGCAGACGCAGAGATGCCCCCAAAAGGAGAAGCAGCTCAGTGGGGGGGGGTTTTGAATCGATGTGGAGAGCTGGGCAGTAAAGTTACCACAGCTCCCCGAGACTGGAACAACTTCCCCAAGGCAGAGTGTGTGTAGAAAAGCATATGGACAGGCAGAGATGTCCCCCAAAGGAGAAGCAACTTGAGGGGGGGGAGGTTGAATCAGTGTGTAGAACTGGGCAGTAAAGTCGCCCCAAGTCCCCGAGACTGAAACAATTCCCCCAAGGCAGGGGGCATGTAGGACAGGCAGAGATGACCCCAAAAGGAGAAGCAATTCAGTCGGGGGGGGGAATGTTAAGTCGGGGGGGGGGGGTACTGCGGAGCTAGGCAGAAAAGTCACCCAAGTCCCTGAAACTGGAACTATTCCCCCAAGGCAAGGTGTGTGCAGGAAAGCAGGTGGAAAGGCAGAGATAACCCCAAAAGGCGAAGCAGGCCAGTGTGTGTGGCAGGGAAATGGAAGAAAAGCCCCCCCACCTCAAAATTTCCCAAAAAGAGAAAAAAAACAATGAAGGAGCAATCGCTCAAGGCTTAACTGCAACCCAAAGTGGGGGTGTGAAATAAAATGGGAGGGAAAGAAGGGAAACTACCAAGGAAAGCAGAGCAAACAGCAGGAAAATCCCCCAAACAAATAGCAGGCCACGTGAAATGAGAGAACAATCCCGATTCCCCCACCCTTCACAGCAAGCAAATAAAAATGCAAGAACAACGAATGGCCACAGAACCCAGGGCAAAGCAAAGCCCCCTGTCCCCAGACTGTGTGCAGTCCCCCCCATGCCCAGCAAATCTCTTCATTCAACTTTCTTGCTAAAGTACACTGACTCTCCCTCTCCCTTTACATCTCCAACTCTGACCAAACCCCCATCAGAGAATACGTGCCCTTCTCTCGGACTTCTATAGCATTCTGAGTCCCATTGTGATGAACAGGAGCTCTGTTATTGGCAGGCAGCAGTGCCCATCAAGCTTTGGAGGGTTCCTACTGCTTCCAAGGCTGGAAAACACCACCTCCACCATTGTCTAGGAGTTGTACACCAGGTTTTCTGGGTTGGTTTCATTTCCCAGAGCCGCCCCAAGCCGCCCCTAAAAACTTGGAGATTTATTCGGAGACCATATGCATGCCGAACATCATGTCCCAAGTCCCAATTTGCCCAAAATTTGGCCTGAATTTTGGCTCATCACACGGTTTGTGCCCATCCCTAGTTGTAACTTGTACAAGCCCAAGTTAAACTGATATTGGAACTACTATGACAATTGCAGAAGTGAAAAAAATAATATGGTACATTCATGAGAAGTATCTATTTTCAGTGTCAGAAGGTATTTGACCTGTACCAGAACATGTTCTCACACTTGGATTTCAGAGCCAAGCTACATATGATACAAGAGATCTGTAATTAGGATCTCCCACCGGTAGTGGAGTGAGTGTGTATGTGCGCATGCATGTTCAAGACAATGCAGCCTCGGGGGCATCAGAATCCAACTACAACCATGGCACAGGGAGAATGGGGGGTTGATCAGTTTCTCCTCCACCATTTACCCAACCCAAATCCACTGCACTGCCTTACGGCTACTGTTAGCCACAAAGGGCTAATGAGAGTACCTGTATGTTTTCTCCTATAGGGCAGATAAGAAGCTCCAGAGAGAAGGCAATTTGTACTAGGAAAACAGCACAATGAAAGAAACAGTTAATTGTATCTGCAGCCTCAGTATGAATCTTCTTCCCTTTACGGCTGCTTTTGCTTTAAAAGAAAACTCAGTTGGTAATCATGGATCTCTTGCACCACTATATATGTAGTTTAGCCCTCAGAGAACTGAGTAAACAAGAAATCTGTCTTTGCACCTTGGTTAGCAAAGGGAGGCACAACCACAATCAAAGCAGAATCATATCACACTAGGAATAACAATATTCAACATGAATACAGGACCAACTAATATCGGGGGTATTCAATTACACCACTGTTATTTGTGATGTAAGTATAAATCATGCCTCAGGGAATTAACTACTCTTAGTCTCCTCTTGCACCTGGGAAAGATGTTTACTGCCCCTCAGCATCTCTCTGACACAACCCAAGTACCTTGGGGACCTGTTAAGTTGTGCTCCTGAGACAAATGACAGCTGAATATCCCTGCTGTTTAGCTTTTGCTAAGAATCCAAGCACTTTGTCTGAGAATCTATTTAAGACAGTCCAAGCCAGTAAAAAGTTTATAACACATTCTAGCATTTAATTTTTAATGAAGGAACTGAGTACCATTCTCAGGGGGGGAAAGCTTTAATTCATTAATCCTACCCCCACAGAGATCACCTCCGTCCTACAGAAATGCAGTCTAAGGATTAAAGCCCATCAGTTTCCCACCATGAAGTAAATTTAGGCAAACATCTTGTGACAAAAACCTGCTTAGAGGTCATCTGTGTTGGATTCAAAACACCCATGTAACACTGGAATTCAGGAGAGAACAGAGAAAACTACAATCATCAATAAACCAGGAGACCTAACTAGAGGACCATGCATGGCAAAAAGAGGCTCACAGAAAATTTGAGCCCTGGGTGGGGTTCTTGAAAGAGGAACTTTGGAAATTCCTCATTTGTAATTCTAAAAAGATCAACACCAAAAAGGAAGGTATAAGGAATACTATTTTCCTCTGTTTGGATGTCTGTCCTCTTGAACATCAGCATCTAAAAATTACTTACAAAGCTATTACTTTTTTTCTTGTTAGGAGAACATAGGAACAAAAAGTCTCCTCATTCTTCACTTCCTACAAATCTATTACTTTTTTTTCTTGTTAGGAGAATATGGGAACAAAAAGTCTCCTCATTCTTCACTTGTTGGAGGAATGACTGGCCATTTTTAATTTTCCAAATTTTGTCCTCATGAAAACCTACCAAGTAAACCACCATTACCTCCAATTAAGAGATGGGAACTAATGAACCCCTGGCCAGAAGGGACTCAGAAGAAATTGGAACTGTTAGAGCTCAAGGCAGTTATTACGGTAAATGTTGGGAAACTAGTCTCAAAACAATCACACAGCCACTGTTGGCACGTGACCATCAGAACCAAAACTCAGATTATTAGACCTAAATGTAACCATAAACACAAAATATCCCTATATCAAACAGCCATAGGTCACAACTACAATACAGGGTTCCACAAACCCAGGGAAACACACACACCCCAGATTTGCAGAAAAATCTTGTTTGTTTTAGTAATCTAATTCTGAGGTACAATTTTCCCCACCCCCAGTTAATAGTAACATAAAAATAATACTCTGCCAGAGCACGGGTGACATTTTGGGTCACATAACCCAGAACACATGAAAAAAACCCACGGCGGGACCCAAGAAGTGGTTATTCAGGAGTCTGCATCTGGCTCTGGTTCATCTCACCACCACCAGCACCTACTTCCTCCTCCTGGCTGTGGTGGTAGTGGTGCACAAATTCTCAAGACTCTGGCAGCAAGTGAGACCTGTCTATGGAAGGTGGGGAACCACACAGACTCCCCTTCTTGCAACTCTCCTTTCCCCTTCTTGCAATTGTCCTTCTTGTTGATATCTTTGACTGAGAAGACAACCATAAGGAGCACAAGCCTATCTTCAGTTCAAGTCCTTGGCATCTCCAAAATAAAATAGGGCTGATACTTCTGCTATAGGGTCTGCCTGAGGCTTTGGAGAGCCACCACCAGTCAAGGTAGACAATACTGGGAAGCCATAGTGGCTAATTGTAACCCTGTTGGCTAAGACAGAGTACAACAACCAACTAGGAAGTCCCTGGTCAAATCTCACCTCCAATCCAAAGTCATTAGACAGCCCCACAGTCTCAGATTCACATCTGTAATACTGGGATTAACATTAATGACCTACATTACAGCACTGTTGGTAGGACTACAAAAACAGAGTACATATGAAGCATTTTGAACATTTAACAGCACTATATACAAGCATTATATAAGGCAAGTTCATATGAGCCAAGAGACTACAATCTCTCAGCCTTAAAACTGGCTCTCAAACACAAAGATGACTGATTCAACCAATAAGAGAAAAAGAGATCCTTTGTCTGCATCTGTTTTTCAGCCTAATGGTTTTAAGCAAATACCTCTTGTGCATCACCCCTCTTTCCCACCCACCCCTCCTCTACATGTGCATATTATATGTATTCTCACACACATACCCAAAATGTATCACTTCTCACTGGGAAATTAGACTGTAGCTTTAAAGATCGTACACTCACAATGATTTCAAAACATATCAAAAGCACATCTTGATATAAACCTTGACTATGCTGATCCATTGGACTTTGAGGTGGCCCCATTCCAGGATGAGGAGGTCGCATACTTGCTGTCTTCATGGAGTTGCTGTGCAGGTCTTCAACCATTCCTTTCTCATGCAAACCATCGATGGGCTGCAAAATTCAACCAATAAAGAATCTGACATTGTTTCACGGAATTCCTAACCAACTATCTAGAGGACTTGTAGCAAGTGTTAAAAATCAAAAGCTGTACTAAAATGAAGGTGTGCACCTTCCCCCTCCGAAAAATAAGCGATGACAGTATCCAATCAACAAAGCAATGGGAACTTTGTGTACCATGATAAGGCACCAATATTTTCTGAAATTACATCTTTGATGCACATGTATTTACCTTCACTCTTTTACTACTTGCTATTAAAGAAGCAACGTGAAAACATGGCCTCCTCATTTACTTCAGTTCAGGCTATTCCCCCACACTCTTACCTCTCCTTTACAGAGCTCTTGTGATGTATTTGGACAAGAGTAATGCCACTGATAATCTTTTACATTTTTGGCCACAACCAAACAGAAGACTACAAAGACCACTTACATAATCTGGAAGCAAACAGTTAGTGCCACAGAATGAAAGAAGATTTGTTATCCTGAGCCCAGCCTCCAAGCAGTAACTGCTGCATCAGGACACCCCAAAGGCCGTTTTTCTTTGAATGTAAACATTCTGTTGTGGGGGTCAACTCTTCCCCTGAGGGGGAGAAGGGAGCAGTGGATAAATTGCCAAAGCACCCTCAGCAAGAGTGCTATTGCCTATGTCTGGGACGAAAACAAAGTGTGTGCCAGACTCAGCACTTGAAGACCAAAAAGGTATCTGAGCAAAGGAGAAGAAAACTAATGGTAAGCAACAGAATACAGAGAGAGTGCCATACAGTGAGGAGATAAAATCTACACTAAGCATAAGCAACTGGAGGGGAGGAAAGTAAGAGGTCAAGGTCATGGAAACAGAATCTTAAAAGTACAAACCCAGACTTACAAAAATCAACACAGGATAATCTACAATATTTACTTCCCTTGCCAGCTGTGAGCTTATAGCACTAGGGAACTTCTATTTAAAGGGAGTGAAAATGTTTGGCAGCCACTCACTGGAGAAGGCACACACTGCTGAAATGCTCCCAGCATTCTGGAAGAACCTGTTTCAGCCTAATCCACACCATCTGAAACTTTATGACACGAAACAGACAGTGTGCATCTGCTTTGAAGGGCAAAAAGGGGGAGAAATGGGGGGGGGGGGAGAGCTATGAAGGAACGGGTCTAAGGGGAAAGGAGGAGATGGGGAAAATGGCCTGAGGCAAGACAATATGCTTTCCAAACTTCCCGCTCTATGCATAATAGTATTGTAAACTAGCTTACCCTCTCCCACAGAAAGAAAATGGGGGGAGGGGCAATGCCTACCTTTGATTATAGAACCTTCTCAAAAAACAACAACAACATAAAGATATAAAACTAGTAATTCACAACTACTAAGCAAGTTTGTTAACACAATGCTTAAACAAAATTAAGATTAAGAAAACAACCGAATCAGACTTTGGGGCAAAGAGCTTGGGAGCTTTCAACAAAGCAATATTAAAGTGAGAGTAGGCTACGGTGTTTTGGATTCAGAGGAGTTTCTCATTTCTGTTGAAAAGTAAAATGGAGTTACACCTGAAATGGGCTTCATCTAGAGTTCACAGTACATTTTACTGTATATCAGATGATTTACATGACGGGGAATTTTTTTTCCTTGTTTACTGCTGGCATTTAAGAAGCTGAAAGGCTTGTGATGGTGTGGGGGGTGGGACAATTTGAAAGTTGCCTCCCAACCTCTAGGACCCTATTAGTTGTGAGGGGCTTGATTCTCCCCTCTCCTTTCCCCATTTTACTGACTTTCAATAGCTCTTAACATTTTGTGCTCCTGAAGCATATTCAGACTCTTTAGGCCAGTCCGGGCTTGGGGGGGGGGGGGGTTGAAAAGGGTACTTCTGTTTGATTTGCAAAGTCATATTTTTCTGCATATCTGGAGGGTTCCCCAAGTCTCTTAAAAAACCCACCATATTTGAGGACAGCCCATCGAGCTGCTTGGCATTCACCAATATGGATATAGCAATGGTTCAGAATGTTCTCTGGCAGTTAAGCAGAGTAAAACCTTGAAAAACAGGCAGAGGACCAGGAAGGGAAGCTCTGCGGAATTTATGCTAAAGACAAATTAATGCAGATTAGTGGCCTCTTAATATCCTTTAACCAATCACAATAGTCACAATAATCAAAACATTACAAAAAAGGCTAAAAGAGGCCAAAAAGCATTGAACTGAGTACAATGGCAAAAACTCAGCATGATATGGAGTAAATAAACAAGCAAGCTGTAACATAACCTGACAGCTCAAACCCATTGGGCATGCTATTACAATGATAAATGGGGGGGGGGGGAAATGCTGTGATGTTATACACCAAGTATTATAACTTTCTTTGGCTGTGCACCAGCTTAAAAAACTCTCTCAAGCACCTCAATTTTCATTATTTAGCTCAATTTTCAGTAATTAGAATTAGTTTCAACAGTTTTACAAACTGTAATAAGTTTCTGCTTAGCATGTGGTAGCTTCCCAGCTAATCCAATTCAAAATTTATCTTAGACAGCAATTAATATAAACTGTACAAAGAGGTGTTTAGCATTTTTAGATTTATTTAAAATATTCTTATCTGATCATTCCATTCAGTACAATTCTTAAAAAGTCAAACTGTCTATATAGAGCATGATCAGACAAATTTAAATAATTTGTAGTCCCATTGGCTTAAAAAAGCAAACATGTGCTGATTGAAATCCATGAGACTTAAAAGTGCTTAAACTTTAGCTAGAAAATGGTATTATGTAAAATAGCTTTCCCCTTTTAATCTGCATTAAAAAGCACATTGTCCACTGAGTTAAATGTCTGCATTGGTGCACACAAACAACATATGTAAAGAAAAGGAAACATACCCTTCCCAGTCAAGCATATATGGTGCTTATGATGTGTAAAAAGTTAGTATATTGCATCCCATGAAAGCAATTTTCTAACCACCATCATGATGGGATACAACTAAAGAAATCAGTATGGTTACTTAATTACTTCAAATGCAAATAATCAAGTTAGCTACCATTATTAACCAGACCTGACAAATCATGGTCAATCCCCGAAACTACTTTTTCTTAAATAGTCACGTTGGAATCTATAAGATTAAACTAAGTAGTTTTATGATTGCAATGAACTACATGAAGCTTGTGTTGGGCACAATTCAATCTGTCCCATTAGATTACCTAGTAGTATTAAACCACTTAATAGGATTTTCACTGTTACAATCAGAAACAACAAATGTTTCTGGCTTGAAGAGAAGCCTTTAACCGTGCAGGACAATATACAAATATTACTCTGAACCACAAAAAAGTTACTTTTGCTCCCTCTCTGTGAAGTCCAGCTCCTGCACAAGAAAAGAGAGTATGGAGCTTTGGCGAGCAAATGTAACACATCTCTGAAGAGGTGGAGAGCTGGAAATCTAGCGTCTGGGTTTTTTTGGGGGGAGGGGGCAATAGACATGGACCACTTTTCACTCTAATCAATGTCTAGTCTTCTATCTCAGTTAATATCTCATGACTCCCTTTGACCAGCTCAATATTTCCAGCTCTGAGTTCCTAGGAGAAGAGCCCGAGGAGCCATGGTCAGTGGCTAAGGAGGGCCAGAGGGACCACGGAGAGACCAGCATGGAGAGATGCCTGCTGACACTGACATGCCAGAACCTGCAAAAGAAACTTTACCACCAGTCCCTGAGATAACTGGCAAGCCTCTGCCAGGCAGAACTTGAGCCTGGGATCCTCTCCCACTTAACAGCAGCAGAAGGCCCAGGACGATGTGGCAGAGAGGAAGTGAAGTGCCAGACTGGCTGCACACAACCCCACTGTGAAACTAGAACAGTGCACTGTTGGTGGCACTTCCTTGCCAGAGCACAGTGCAGCCTCAGGAGCTCCATCACCTGCCTGCAGTACAGCTGGGGTCAATTACCTCTTAGACTGTTTAGACTGAAGCCAGGGACCACAGCTTTGTTGGATCAACCAATCCAACCAGTGCAAGTCTTGTGTTCCAAGCTCCGGCTCCATGCCCTACCTCCAAGTCTTCTCTCAAACTTTCAACCCCAGGTTAAGCCTACGTCTCAAGCCTTTCCAGCACAGACCTAAGGGCACTACTTTGGAGGAAACTTGATTGAGCCTGACCACAGAGCTCAGGACAGAATTAACCAGGTAGCCAGTACAACTCTAGGCATGTTTAAATACCACTGAATTTAATCGGATTTGGTCCCTAGTACGTATACTTAGAATCACAGCCTTAGGCCACTGAAACCAATGAAACTTACTTCCAAGCAAAGGGTGCTTACATCTGTCGGTCTCAAGTACTATGTGAATTGATCTCTACCTGCCTTCATAGCAGTAGTAAAAGTACACTGCAGCTTAAGTCACCATCACAACACTTTCTTTTCCTGTGGCTTCACCAAATTTCTGACAGCTAGAGGTACACAACTTTGACAAATGACTTCAAAATACACAAGGAGCATTAATTAAGCACAGTTTAAAAGCTACACTCACATTTCAGACAAATTCAACTAATGCCAGTTAATTCAAAAATAAGACTTTCAATAAATTGATACACCCATTTACAAGGTACAAAACAAAGGAAGACAAAAGTCATGAATATCCCATTGCATATTAGTCCCCCCTAATGATTTCCTGTGCATGTGGGAATACCACAGACCTCTGGAGCTACTTTCATTCCCAGACTGGAAACATCATCACAATGCTTCCTCATTGCCTATGTAGAACTCTGTCTCAAGCATCCTGAGTACTGAAATGAACAGGGAAGCCTTTACTGAAATGGGATCACAAACTGAATGCATCTGAGATCTAGTGGAGATCTGCACAGCAAGTTTACATGGAAGACAAAACCCACTGATGTTAATGCAGGGTTGGATTGCGAGAAGTATACTGGGCCAGGCTTCAAGGCAAGTCCACAGAAGTTACTAGGCCAAACATTCAAAATTATCTCTGGTGGCAAGTAACTCGGTCAGTCTTTTGTGGAATTCCGAAAGAGTAAAAAGGGGGGAAATGCAATTCCCCCCCCCTTTTACCAATGTATTACAGATTTCCTCACTTCTTGTCTGCAACTGATGCTTACTTGTCCTGGGCAACAAGGCAAGTGACCATTCCCATGTCTGTACTAAGAGCAGATCAGCAGTGCTCAGGTTCTGAATGCTTTCATTACCCATTTCCACTCATTTCAAAAGATTTCAGTTACAAGCAACTAAATTTAAGTGAAAATATATGGTTTCCTCCCCACAAAAAACACTGGCTTATCTTTGAAAAGCAGCTAAATTAGGGAGTACTTGCTCAGGGATACTCCTTATCTATGGTTCATAAAAATGTTGCTCAGTTTAGAGGTCAAATGCTGTTCCTATCTCAGGACTGTACAGCATCCAGTTACTCTGATGATATAAAGCTCACAGCGATATTACATAGCACAAAATACAGTGGCTGTTGTCAGACAAACATTTTGTAAATACAATGTGTACACACGTAAGAAGTACTTACTTTGTGCATTGGGTGCATGCCTTCTTGTGGGTAATCATTAGGTCCCATGGTTGGCATTGCATGTGGAACACTTGGGGGTCCAGGACTTGGTCCCATCATGCTGTGTACTGAACTTGGTGAAGGACCTGGGCCTGGGCTAGGACCTAATATTGGTCCTGGTGAAGGACCTGGGCCTGGAGAAGGGCCAGGATGAGGCATTGCACCAGGATCTGTTGGTGTAGACATCTATTCTCTGTTTGTGTTCCAATCACTTGTACAGCTGTAGGGAGTAAGGAAAAACACATATTATTTATGTAATTTCACGGCCAGCTGTTCATCATCAGCAAGGAGAGGAGCTTGGGAAAATAAAATACAAGAGTCCTTAGCAATTTTTCAAGGAAATGCCCAGCTTTCAACAGAGTAATCTGAAGTTACAAAAGAAGTGAGTTTCAAGTACTTTTCTATTCAACCACACTACCTATCAAGTAGAGTTTCTTGATGATAAAGGAACACTACAAAGGAAAGTTTTAGGCCAAAACTGTAATATATAGTTTACTAGGAGCGAGGTCCATTGTAGGACCAATACAACGAGCCCTAGAAGGACATGAGACCTCCGTGTGTCCCCGCCCTGGACGTGCCGGCGAGACCCCGGTGCAGCGGCACGGGCCACCATGGTGTCCCTGGGTAGGCGCGGGCATTGTCTGGGCTGGCCGCCGTGGGGTCGCAGGGCAGCCATGCGCATAGCCTGTGGGCCGCCGACAGCCAGTGCGGCAGGAGGAGCGGTATCAGTGTGAGGGCCCTCCACCCAGTGTGGTGGTTGGACCGCACGTCGCCCACAAGGAGAATGAGGGCCAGCCCCACACTGTCGCCCCCTCCTGGCGAGACCCCAGACTCGAGGGGTGATGGAATGGGCCGGCACTGTCTCCCTGGCTGGCCGGTGCTGGCAGCGTCGGGGCCGCAGAACGGGCAGCGAGATGGATTGGGCCTCGGGCAGCGGGGGCAGCGGTGGGAGGATTGGCCTCCGGTCCCCAGTTTCCCCCCCCTCCACAGACTGCAGGGTGAAGGGGCGAAGGAACAGGCTGCCACTGTCTCCCTGTCTGGGTGGGTGATGGAGTCCCGCAGGCCACCTCCACCGCTGTCAGGCTGGCAGCCCCCGCCCGGTGGCAGGGTGTCCAGCTACCTGGAGTCAGCCTCAGCTGACGATGAATGCAGGGACACCAGCAGGATTGGCCTGGGGCTCGGACACGTCCGGCCGCTGGAGCATCCATCCCGCCCAGCGGCTCCCCACAGACTGAGGGTGAGACGCCACCCGGCGCATGTGTGGACGGAACTGAGGCAACAGAGGGAGGCAATGCGGCCAGGGGATTGGCCTCCCTCCTGAGTGACAGATCAGGGGCCCAAAGGCTGTGGAAGCATGTCAAACATTCAGGAGAGAGTCACACCAAAACTCTTTTATATATAAGGAGAGATAAGGTAGAGGTTTTTAAAAAATAAGACTTGGATACCTTCTTGCTATTTAAGAAAACAACAATGGGTAGAACAAAAACACAAGCCTGAATTATTAGGACTTTTTAAAAAAAAACTAGAGTCTGGACATAATAGTGATCTAGGTTTTCCAACCTCCAGGCGGTAGCTGGAAATCTCTCACTATTAAAAATGTTCGCCAGGCGACGGAGATCAGTTCACCTGGAGAAAATGGCTGCTTTGGAAGGCTGACTCTATGTCATTATACCCCACTGAAGTCCCTCCCCTCCCCAAACCCTGCTGTTCTCAGACTCCCCCTCCCCCCAAAAAAATAATCTCCAGGTATTTCCCAACACGGAGCTGGCAACCCTAGTGATGATCAAAGGTTTGGTAAAATCTGCGGCTGCATCAAGCCACAAAGAAGGTCATTTGAAACCTAATGTGGAATCCAGGAAATTGTCTGCCTCTCTGAGGGTACAGTGGTACATGCATGTGTGTTCACAAGAGAAAATGACAAATGACCAGTTAAGACATATTCTTGTATGTCAAGCAAACTAAAAGCCACTTTTTGCATTATTAATGTAGTGGGTACACATGTCCAAGTTGTATGATTCCAGAGACTGTCTTCCTACACCCTGCATAAGGAGCAGCCTCTGATAGGCAGAAGTGCAGAGTCCCTACCTCACCCAGGTGTCTTCATGAACACTGTATCACTTCTTTACCAACCACGCTGTGTCTTGCCAATCGCAGCTTTGGAACCAGAAGCTCTACCATGCCTCATATTCAACAAGTCACTCCTATCCCATAACTCCATGTGGGGTATGGGAAAGAAGTGGGCTGCCTTTGGAAGTCTTTGTTTACAGAAATGTCTTCAACCAGGACAGGCTCCAGAATCACCTCTGGCTTATACCAGCTGTCTAACAAACTTTGCCTAATGCTGGACCATTTGTGCACATTTCCAGCCCAATTAGTGTGACAACCGGCACCTACCCCCCCCCCCAACCATTTGAGACCCAATCATCAACATACTTTGCCGGAAGGATAAAGCTGCCATTGAGCCATAGCAAAGAAAGGGTGGCTATATTGGATCCTTGTAGGAAGCTGCAATGCATCGTCCTCTGTTCATGCACGGTGATGGACTGAAGCACAAAACTGTAATGTTTGAAGTTCATATATATGTTTCCCCTCCCCCCAATCTGTGTACGCCATGGAAATATACAGAGGGAATCTGTAGTTATTCCTGGCTTCAGGCACATAGCCTGAGTGTGTCAAACACTCAAGTTTGAGCTCATGAAAAGACTTATGAACGTACTGTACCAATGCATTATGAATTTCATCCTATGGGGGGAAACCCAGATGCCTTAAGATTTCCCTCTGTTTACATCGTATTATAGCCTGACACTGAACGCTCATCTATATTCCATTATTCTAATATATTTCTTTGTAAACATTACATTCTTGCATTTTAATATCTATTCCCTTCTTCTAGTTAAGCCAGCCAATGAATTAGAACAAGAGCTATTAAAGTTACTTAAAATAAACTACCTTGGGAGCATATTCGTTGCAGGGCAAGGCATGGAAATACTTCTGAAGCGATCCTGTTTAAAATAAACAATAACTACAGAACACCACAGGGGCTAATTAGTCCCCCACATTCCCACAGCACTGTCACAAAATGAAGTATTTAAATGTACACAACTGCATCTGCTGGGTCACTTACAAGGTGCTTACAAAGAAGGCAGGAGGGTGGGAATGCAGCAAAGACATTTCTTTACAGGAAGATGAGGTTTTACAAGAGACAAGCACACTGTCAGAAGACATCACCCTAAAGAGTGCATAGTTTATAGTGAAGATTCCCAGCACTGGGAAGAATCAAAGTGAAATGTAGCACTTCTACCACGAACAAGGCTAAATTTAAACAGAAACTGCTATGTAGCCAGTGCAAAGGAACCATAAATAGCATCTTCACATGCCATCCTTAGGCTCAGAGCAGTGTACATTACCTTAAACTGAACCTGCCTACTAGAAGCACTGTTTTTTCTAAATACATATAGTCAGAGGTCATTTCAGGGGGGATCGCAGGGGATCGCAGTTCCCCCGAGTGAGGTACGGGGGGTGGGGCACATGACAAAGCACCGCCCCCTGCTTCCGGCCGCCCTGCTTCCGGCCCTCATTCAGCCAGGAGGAGGCAGGAGAAGAGAGAGGGTAAGTTGCTTCCTCCCTGCCTCTCCCCACCCCTGCCTGCCTGGGGCCAGGGAGGGCCTTCGCAGAACTTCCTTGCACTCCCGCCGGCCTTGCAGGTCCACCGCCGGGCCCCTCATGGGGCTCGGCAGTGGAGCTGCAAGGCCGGCGGTGGCGGCATGGAAATGAGTTATGCTAATGAGTTCCCCTAGCTCTTTTTCTATGAAATGACCCCTGCATATAGTTATTTTTTGTATAGTCACCTTTTGTATAGTCACCATTTAGATGGAGAACATAACAAGTAGAAATATTTGTAATGAAGGCAAAAGTTCCAAAAGTTGTTTTTTCCATCTGCAGAATCTGTAGAAATTATCATTATCCAGCACAGCCCTGCACATCAAATTTGCCCTGAGTACTTTTTCTCTTAAAATTATTTTATTATCCTCATTTGGCCTCACTGAATAACATTATGGGATCAGGTAGTTAGATAATGCATTATATTACAAAGATTACATTTGTTTTACATTAAGGATTAATTACATGCTTATCACTATGACAATAGGAAAGATCAAAATGACAGCAGTATTCCTAGGTGAAAGGGGGCACTGTGCCTCTCTGTGCTGGACATACAGTGGTGACTTCACACATACACACTCACACACACAGTACTGGGGATCATACAACCCACTGTGGGATAGGGAAAAGTTTTTACCACCATGAAAACAGCATCCCTGTGTACAGCAGAACAGCTGATGGAAGAGTATAAACACCAGAATTCATGGCACTGGTTTGGCCCCAGAGGGATACTAAAACCTGCCAATAGTAGGCCAAATGTGGTTACAAGTGCAACATTAGCTCAAGAGGTAATTTAGTGCTATAATTTAACGCTATACGTATCAGACTAGTGAACAGAAAGCCATAGGTCTGCTTCTGAATCCTAGTTTCTTCACATGAGTCAAGTTTGCCCTACATGTTAGATCACTCTTACACGGGGGCACTTGGCAGTGCTGCCAGCACTTTCATCTCATGAGGTACTCCTTCCAGTGTTACCACTCTAAGCACACTCTGTAACTGCATCTTATTCTAAGGAAAGCAGCCCATCCCCTCAAGTTTAGTTGATTTCTGTTATGCTCCCAGATGCCCTTTTAAGCAAACACAACTACAAACAAATGTCAGAAACCAGTTGTACCCATTGAATAAACTGCACCCTTCAATGCCTTTGGGAAGACTGGGTAGATGCATTGCACTCATGCCCTTATCTGGTCCTACTGGGGTTGGAAAGGAATTTTCCTCTATATCAGGCAGCTGTGGAATGGACATTTTGAATTCATTCCCCAAGTGGAATATGCTGTACATGGGGAGCAGTAACAAAAACAAAAAGCAGATAGAAAATGGGAAGAACATTAATTAATTTATGAGGTTTCCATCCAAGTAAATTTTAGAACAGGGATCTTTTCCTGCATCAGTTTTAAACATGGTGGCAGCTCATCCATATCGACCAGTGCAAATAACTATATGGCAGAGCACATTATGTTTGCCCTAAACTAGAAATGATCCAAGGAGGCGATCTAATGTAAGACAGTGACTCTGCAGACTAAAATGATGATCCAGCTTGTAATTCCTATAAAACTAATC